TTTATATGGCAGCTGCTGCTGCGGTTGCAATAATGGCTGCAAATATTCCACTTGATCCCTCTATCCATCCAATTCCTCCATCATATGTATCACTATTCTCCTCAGATACACGGCAGGTGTATCCGGTTTGGCGAGACGTCGATGCATTCGACTTTCCTGACGATGTAGTCCTAGAACGACTAATGCAACATGGTACATTCGTCGCTTATTGCGTCGATCAGGGTTGTTGACTAGGGAGAAATTTTTTTACTTGATGCTATTTCAAGTTGTTTTCAGTTGTCAACTATCCGTGTCGTATCGGTCATTTCAAGCACTCAGCCAGGCGCAGGTTATCCGACAGAGGTTGGTATCCTCGTTGACGCAATTATCAACCGTATTAACTACGGAATCTTCAACTCGCGTATGTGAAGCACGCATGCACTGGCATAGCGGCCCCTCTTTTCTCTGAATAGATCTATTCTGAATTCTACGGTCCGCTGGCATTTTAAGCCTTTTATTCCCCAAATTGATCTATTCTGAATGGTATAGTCCGCTGGCATAGCGGCCTCTTTATTCCCTAAATAGATCCATTCTGAATGGTATAGTCCGCTGGCATAGCGGCCCCTTTATTCCCCAAATATATCTTTTCTGAATTCTATAGTCCGCTGGCATAGCGGCCCCCCTGTTCCACTGGGAACTGTTCTTCACTTTTTAACTCCGAAATTTCCCATCATTTTCTGATGAAGCTCCTTCTCTGGATTGGTTGAAGAACATAAACGTTTCACTCGTGCAATCCATCATATCAGCCACATGCACAATTTTGCCCCCTCCGCCTAGACGTTCTCCAGTGCTTGTTCTATCTAGTAATGACCGGTACAATGGAAGCAGTGACTGCTTAGCAGTCTGCGAGGACGAGAAGAAACAGTGTACTCCAGACTCTCGTGCAGGAATCCGTTAGGCTGTTGTCCTTCAGGCGTTCCCACTGGAGAGCTCAATGATGATCGAAGTGGTTGCCGATGCATCACAGGATATCATCGCCGAGTCTTCAAATTGGTGAGGGATACTTTTGGTCGAATTATCTAGCTGTGGAGCTCATTCTCGATTCTGATGCTGATTTTTAGATTGTTCTCAAACTTGATTCTCGGATTCGGGATCAATTCTGCTAGTCCACAATGTGGACTCCACATTACTCATATTTAATCGTGAGTAATGTGGTACCGCACCATTGATGCGACCCCATATACATGCTCGAAAAAGAGCTCGCATAATGGACGTGCGATGTTTATCGATTTCTAATGGAAATCCTTCATATCTTCAGACTGTTCAATGTTCATTTCCTGGTCCGGGAGAACGTTTTTCTTGGGAGGCTCTTGATAAGAGCGTATTCGAAGATAGTCTGTTGAAATTTTCCCCTCCTCAGCCCATTCCCTGAGGAGGCTGACCGGTCCAGCTATGGATGGGTTTACAGCCGTCGCTCACTGTATGAGCGCCTTTGACAGTAGGCAACTCGAAATGAGTGTCCTTGCAGCTAACAATGAGGTAAGGTTTATCAAAACTCATTGGAGGGAACTTGCTGGACAACACAATCTCTCCAGTGTATCCCTTCTCCAGCGCGTAATTGACGGTCGCTGGCATTCCCGTGGGCCGGCCGATGAGCCATAAGCAGCAACAGGAAACCTTTCACATACTGGGAGTCGCAAATGTTATATCAGGACATGACGAGTTTTTTGACCTACCATTCGCAGAGCTTGTTATGATTATGTCCCTAAACATCCAGACTGTGGAGTCCACAGTGTCACCTGCAGCAACAATCCCCACTGCCTAGCCCCCACGTCAAAACTCTGCAACTGCACCTCAACTTGTATCTGATAGATACTACCTAGTGATGTGTTCAAGGTCGAAAGCTTCTTCTCACCATGTGCTGTCATTTCACAAGACTCGCAGACTGCGCGGCTCAGTGTTGCGACCTCTACGATCTCAACGATAAGAGGTTTTGCAAGCGACCATTCAGATATCCAACCAACTTCATGCCTATCATCAAGGACCTCCCTAAGGACGAGATACCTGTTGGATTAGAAAATGCTGAGGGTCGTTTCTCTAGCTCTCATAGAAGCTCTGAGGGCCGTTAACTCATAGATGGGCGGCGTGGCGTTTTTTCACGGTTCACATTACAGTGTGCGTAGCGTGGGTAGTTTACGGTCACGGAAAGGACTAACGACTTTACGGTTGGTCCTCTACTACCTTTTTGGAATTATGGCCGAAAAATTCGCTGCTACGCACTTCACCATAGCTCAAATAGTTATTGAACTCATTTCCCGTGGCTCGAATTCAATCAAACCGCTGAGAGAGTAACATTTAGTTTCGCATTGACCACTCGTCTCCGTTTCAAATTCCGTCCGTCTTGCTCCCAGGCTGGCCCGAAATTGCTCAGCCGGCCACGTCTACGGACGCGTATCGACATGGAATAGTCTTAGGCGACTTGAATGGTCAATCCTCATTTCGTCTATTGCATATCCGTAAGACCCGTTACGGCTCCATAATTTCACGGTACGGGGCTTGAGCGTAACTGTGAAAGTGAGCCGTAACGGTCCGTAACATAGTTCTGCCCATCTATACGTTAACTCTCTGCAGCAACTTCGATATTGTTATAGTTCGACGCAATTCGCTTCAAACTGCAGACCAGAAAGAGACGGGATTGCGAGATAGCGAGTCTATCATGCAAGTATCATCATTCAGGTGGTCGGGTCCCAACGTACTGATCATGCATTACCGGACCGGTAATACCGGTTATATTGATGACTTGGAGGTGGGTTTAGCACCTGATATTGGTCCTGGCTATAGTCAGTGGGATGCGCAGCGCAACTTACGTTATTGCGCCCGTTCCTAGCAATAGTGTGGCAGATGATCCTCCAATCTCAGGGATGAGTCTCGGAGAGGGAACAACCGATTTGATCTGTCGCGGAGCTCCTCTTATCCTCGCCGGGGGGCCTCGCGATTGCTCTTTCAACGGAAATCGTAGGGTATGAGTTATAACACAACAGTTGTTTATCTAAGTCGCCTGATGAGAAAGGCAAAGCCAGGTATTGGTTCACTGTCAAGGATCCGCAGAGCACGAATCAGCGTGGGAAAGAATGCGCATCAAAAGCAAAAATTTCGAGAGAAAGTGGATCCTCGCTCTGATAGCAAGGATCGGACAGCCTGAGCGGTACGGGCGAAGGCACAAAGCACGCGATATGCTTCTGGATGTAGCGAGCCTACACACACAGCTCGCCAGGATCGAGGTCGTCCTTCAAAAGGGGATAGTAAGCTTGCTTCAGGATGCCACATTCACCTGTGCATGAGAGATGGGAGGATGAGACCGAGAGCGTTCACACCTTTGCCACCTTTTCCACGGAGCAGTCTACCATAGCCCTGCATCCCCCAATCCGTGCCCCAGGAGTTCTTGAACTCCCAATATCTATGAGCAGATTGGTCATCCTCAGTGAAGGCCATACTTACTTGGTGCCGTCTTTATCCTCCCCATAACCAGTGATCAACACGCTGTGCGATGACTTGGATTTGTCGCAGGCGTCGGCTGGAAGGGAAGAGAGCAGTGAACATTTTGTAGGGGAAGCCGGGGCTCCGAAGCCCTCGAGAGTCCCCAGGAAT